AAAAGCGAAGCATCTCCCGCTGTCTTCCAGCAGGAAAAAAGGGGGGAAAATCTCTTTGCCTCTCCTCTGTTCTCTCTCTGTGGTTTTCTACCTCTTCCTACCTGAATTCCCCAACCTGCAACCCACCATTACCTTTTATCCAGCACTTCCCCCCTGCTTGAGCGCTGCTGGCCTTTATGATGGCAGGCACACCGCACCAGAGCCCCCCCAGCCCAGAGCAGGATTTAACCCCCATCTGCATCACCCCAGCAGAACAGCCCCATCCTGACCCCTGCATTCCACCACTGGGATCCAGCCTGCGTTTCCCATTCAGCCTCCTCCAAACCATCCAACAGGGCAGATAGAGAAGCAGGGACACAAGAGCACACATCTCACAGCCCAAGGATGCTCAGAGCTGAGATTTTCCTCCGGATCTCTCCAGAAAGCTTTATGAGACCCAAGTTGCTGGTGTTTAATGAGCCCAGGCTAAAGGCTGCCAGCAATCAGGTCACCATCACTCCAAGGAGATGCAACAACTGCTGCTGACACTCTTGCTGCATTCCACCCATCCCACCCTGGGTGCCTGCTGCACATTCAGAGCTTTGGCACTGCCATTGTTTCTCACACCTCAGACTCAAGCTGCTGTGAATATTAGCCTGCTGATTGGAAAATAACTCACAAATAATGGCTGGAAGGTGGGAGAGAGGAGGTGTGGACAGGGGAAAATGCACAGCTTGCTTTTAATCCCAAGATTTCAAAGCCTCGTTTCTCGCCCTGCCCTGGGGATGCTCCACTGTCTGCTGCATCCCTATTTCAGTGTGGGATGGATTCAGGAGCCTCCTCCTGGGAGCCCATCAGCACCCACACGTCACAGCCCAGAGACTGAGGTGAGGTGCCCCGAAATGCATCTGGGGATGGGAGCAGAGGCGACCCTACAGCTTCACCTGATGTTATACCAAGTGAGAAGAGGCACCCCAGGTCTGACCCTGCACAGGGCATGGGGCTCCCCTGGGGACAGACATCCACCAGAGAGCCCCCCAGTGCTCAGAGAGGACCAGAAGGCTCTTGCTCAGTTAACATGATGACAAGCCATCCTTTTGCTGATGCCACTTGCAAAATAATAATAATAATTAAAAAAAAAGAAATAAATGAGGCACAAGCCTCCCTTGACCTAACCCAGGTCCTGCCTTGCCCATTCCTCATGGCAGCTCTGGTGCTGCCGTCCCGGTACACTGGATTCCTTCATTGCTCTGAGCTGAAGATTCATATGGGCTCCCATCTCCCTGCTTCACTGAGTGCTGTGCCCAGAGGACGCCCAAGGACACGAGCTGACTCTCGCTGTGACTCGCTGCTCATCATCAGGTGGATCAGGGACAGCCCTCAGCCCTGTGCCAAGGACAAAGGAGCGAATCTGGTTTACCTGGGTCTGACTTCTGGCATACATCAGAGGCAGCGCCTCTATGAGAGCATCGTAGGTCCCAGCCAGAGGCAGCTCTGCAGCCTTTGCCCCCCTTTCCTCCCTCCTCTAGCTGCTTTCCCCACAGGGAGACAGGCAGCAGCTGAGATAATTTACCATTTAATGTGGGCAGATGGCTTAATTTAAACAAAATCAGAGAGGAGGGAAGCCAGGCTGTGAATGCCTCGATGAGTCCAGCCTCTTGTCTCTTCCCTCCTTCTCTCCTTCTCCCCATGCCGCCACCTGGGGCACAGCATTAGGGCTGGACCCTGCCCTGCTGGCTCCTTGAGTTCTCTCATCCTCCCTCATTGTGCAGAAGGGAGAAAGAGAACCCAGATGCCAACCTCACCCAGACCTTTTAGCAGCTCAGTTTGGCTTGCAGAAGTTCTGGAGGTCTTACCTGGGTCAGCAGGTGGCTTTGGGTGCAGCAGGGTGAATAGGGACAGGAGCCGTCCTGCAGTGATGGGGAGGGAGAAGGAGAGGTGGGCAGAGTTAAGGCTAAGCCAGGTGCTTGTTTGAGGGGAGGGAGGGATGGGGAGGAGATGGACTGCAGCTCCTACGTTGCACCAAGCTCAATCCCTCCCTCCTGCTCTGCTCCCCAGGTTTGTCTCATTGCACACCCATTGATCACCTCTTAAACCCCACTCCGAGCTGCCCAAAGCTTCACTGTGTCCTCAACAATTTGGGGTCTTCTATCCCTCTTCCTCCCAAACCAGACAGCTGCTTTGTATCCAGAGAGCTCCTACCTGGGCTTGGACCTCAGTGGGGTTGGGATGCAGGGGGAGAAAAACTGGAATCAAAGCACTGAGCATGGAGGATGATTGGGCAAATCTACCACTGAGCAGCCAGTGGTAGCACTGCTGCTCCCTACCTGGGAATCAGGCAGCATTGCTACCACCCTCATCCTCTGCTGCACAGCCCCCAGGGGGGGGAAACACCCCCAACAACACCACTGACACCCCTCATTTCCAGAACAAACACAGTGGGCTCTCATCTCATCAAGAGACGTTGATTTCCCTCTAATTACCCACATGTCACGTAACAAATCCAGCTCGGTTATGCAGAGAGTTTTCATAACAGGTTGTGTGGCCGTAGGTGATTGCTTTAAAAAGCTCCCCACCCGTGGAGCTGTGCTTTCTGTGCTCGTTCCCTCCGCAGTAATAAATGCTAATGATGAGGCTCAGTGCCACGTGGAGCTTCACGGCCTGCCTAATGCAGGAAGTCAGAGTGGTCGAACACAATGGTCTCTCCTAGCCACAAAAAAATAATAATAATCAGGAGGGAAAGCGGAGCTGCCTTCTGGAGGTGGCACAGAACGGAGGATTTGGGATGGAGAAGCTGAGCCTGGGGGTGAAATGCTGCATCCTGAGCTCACCAGTGGCACAATCAGGGCTGGGAATGGGCTGTCCCTGCTGCCCTCCTGCTCTGCTGCCAGCTCTGCAGTGCACACAATGGGATTAGCATCGATCTGCCCGGAGCAGCGTCCTCAGTGCGGGTTCTTCCCTGAGCAGCTCCCGTTGCCCCTCGGCTGCTGCCCCCCTTTGCCATCAGGGTGGTTCAGCAGCGTCCTGGCCCTGCCAGATGGTGCAAAACTGGGCCCATGGACGTTGTGCAGATGCTCGTGCTGCTGCCTTGGCAAGGCAGACCTGCTTTCCTGTGCACGGAGAGATAAACAAAGCATCCTCAGGAGCGAAGGGAGCTGCTTTGCCCCCAGAAGGCTCACTGGGGTGAGCTTGCAGGCTGCAGCCCGGTGACAGCTGCATTTTGGGACACGTGGCCGGGCCCAGGAGCTGCTCAGGGTGGTTGTGCAGAGCTGGAGCGATCCCGAGTGATTTCAAAGCACGGAAAGGCGGTGCTCGGACGTTTTAACGATCCTGCTCCCTGTTGGCCCCGCGCTGAATGGGAAGCCTTTAAAGCCGGGATGGCTTTGATCCGACAATGGAGCGAGAGAGAGAGAAGCGCTGCGCTCCTCCTTCCCCACCATTCACCCCAAAAGAGCCAAATTTAGAAGTTCCAAACCGTGAATTGCCAGCATGGGATGGCAGCACTGCCAGCAAGCAGAGCACAGCCCCACAGCCACCTTCAGCCCACATCTCCTGAAGGCTTTAGCAGAGGATGGGGGGCACCAAGGAGGGTCCTCTCTGCCCACCCCCTGCAGGACAGCACCGACCAAGAGCTGCCCATCTCCTCGTCTCCTGTCTGATCGCTTCCCAGCTCGGCTCTGGAGGCGTTCATGGAATCACAGAACGGTTTGGGTTGGAGGTGATCTCAAAGACCACCGATTTCCAGCCCAACCTCTCAAAAACCCATTTCTTCCCCCAAACCCAGCCCTGCCAAACCCATCAGCCAGCTCCGAGGACGTGTTCAAACCAGTTCCAGGAGGATGACGTCCTTCTCCAAGAGGGACAAAGGCTCGGGAAGCACAAAGAGCCCCCGGCTCCAGCTGACTCCCAATTATTCCACTTGGAAATTGGAGGAGCCCGGCTGAGCTGGCAGCAAAGCGGCCGCTGCATCGCAGGGAGAGAGCCTGGAAGGAAGCACAGCTCTCCTCTTGTGGTACGTTTTCCAAAACCCACTGGTTGTGTCCCTAAATAGTTTCCTTCCATGAGCAGCGGGATGCTGTCAGCTATTTATTTTTTTGTCTTTAAAAACGAACAGCAGAAAATAACAAAGAGCTGCGAATGGCAGCTAGAAGTGCAGGGCAGAGGAGCAGGGGGCTGCAGTGAGGAGCACGCAGTGAGGTTTGCAGGGCACGATGCTCCCCTGGCCCTGCAGCGTGCTGCAACAGCCTTGCAGAGTTGCTTGCAAACTGGTATGCAGTGCTTAGCCCAGCAGGCAGCAACCAGAGCATCCTTACAACAGTCTGCTCTTTGGGCTTCTCCTTCCTTCCTATGAGGGATCCTAACGCAAGATTGAGGGCACTGCAGTGCTCAAGCAAGCAGCATTCCCCACCAGAGATATGATACACCCATCCCCATGGCTGCAGTGCTGGCAGCAGAGCAGCAAAGCCCCCCCTGACCAAGAGAAGCTCTGCATGGTGGAGACTTTAGGGGTGTTCGAATGATATTTGTGTCAATGGATGCCTGGAGTGCTGCAGTTCGTCGGGTTTTGTTGTTGTTGCAGTTGTTGCTTTGTTCTATTATTATTATTATTTTCTTATTTCGCTGCAGACGGTTCTGCAACCATCGTTTTGTGTGAGCAGAAAGCAAAGATGCAGAGCAGCTCACCCTGGGAGGAAACAACAAGGAAATGATGGAGCAGCCGGGGCAGGAGGTGGTGATAAGAGGCAAGGCGTGCACACATGTTCCCTGCAGCCTCCTGCAGATGTATGCACCAAAGAGGCCATGGTTAGGGAAGCACTCAGCTCAACCCCCCAGCCCCAGGGACACCCAACCCTGGCACCCAGTGGGTGCCAACCCCAGCAGCATCACAGGGTGCCGTGTTGACCCGTGGCTGCAAGAAAGCCATCATCAGTTCAGCAGAGAACCTCGTGCTGAAGTCCCTCCAGCAGCATCCTCACCACCCCACAGGCACCATAGCCAAAAGTCAAGGAGCTGGGTTGAAATACAGGTGTTTTTCCCCCTTTTAATACCCAGAACAGGACAAACCAACTGTTGTCTCAATGCTGCAGCTGTGCCTCAGCAACACCCTGAGCTCAAAGCCCATCACAGCGGCTGCTCCCAGTCCTGGAGAACAAGGCAGGGGATGCGAGTGGTTCCATGCAGGCTGGGGATGGCAGAGCAGCTATAAGTGAAAATAGAAGCCGTTTTCAATTAAGAAAAGCCAAAGACAACAGTTTCTAGATCAAAAGGAACCTTTCCACTGAAAGCCTTCTGGCTGGGCAGAAGTGTGAATGCATCGGGCTGAGAAAAGCTGCTGCAAAAATCATTTTGTTCTACACGGGTCCTCAACTCAGATTTTGCTCCGAGGACACGGGGTGTTAAACAGCCATTTCTCTTCTATTGAAAAAGCCTTTGAGAAACCAAAGAAGCTTTTCCTGCGGACAGGTTTTCATTTTTTATTTATTTATTATTATTATTTTTTCCCCCTTGTGTGAAGGATGGGAAAATCACAAACCCCCGCTTTGAGAATTGAGCAGATTTGTTCCACCACGGCTGCTCTGGAATGGTTTGGAAATGAAAATGTTGAACCACAGTGCAGAGGAGGTTGGCTTGGAGGCACCTGATGGCATCTGGGGTTTGCTGCCTTGGATCCATGGCCTTGCTGTGAGATTGATGGGTGCTCCATCCCTCCTCCATTCACATCCCACCTCTCCATGCAGCCCACCTGCCCTCAAGTCCTGCTCTGGGACCTCACTCTGGGTCTGGAAGCCCTTAGGGACCCCTGTCAGATGCACTGGCACTGCTTCCTCTGGAGATGCTCCATCCCATCCCTGCCCAGAAGCTGCACGCCACAAGGGAAAAGTCCCATTGCAATACAGGCAAAGCAACCAGAAGGAAGCCCTGCAGCTCCAGCTTGGATCTCTGCAGATCCAGAAATGAGGATTGCTTGGAAAACCCAAGACTGAGGCAGGACCCCACTGCTGGGGACATAAAAGAAGAAATCAGATCCTGATGTTCCCCATATGACCCATCTCCCTGACCCATTAAAACCCCTTCAGTGAGGCTGCACACCGACTGGCCCAGGGATGAGCAGCTGATGCCCTCATTGCCCAGCACTGAGCGTCTCACCAAACCCTCCCTAGTGCCACACTGGCAGTTCTGTGCTCCTTTCCCAGCACCGTCACCATTCCTCTGAGCTGAGCCCTGACCACAGAGCTCAAGCAGGATAACCTTAGCAAATGTCCAGCAAGAATTCACCGCTTTCTTTTACTTCAGATAGCAGGAGAAGGAAATCAGTGACGTTTGGTCTCTTTTCTATGGGAGACTCCTGTGGCTGATTTCTCCACGTGGCCAACAGGTAAACCCAGAGGGGAGAAGCGGTGCAGCCCCAAGCATCCACCTTCATCCTCACAGAGCATTTCTGCTCCCACACAGGGCTGGAGACAACCAAGGGACGAAGCCCCTTGAGGGGAGGACACCGACCCCAGCATAGGATCTGCTCATCGAACTGCTGGAGCTGGGGGGGCAAATTCCCACCATCACAGCAGTGCAAACCCAAATTCATCGCATCGCTTCGTTTCCCCACACCAACAGCCGTCCTCCAGCAACCCAAAAACCAGCAGCCCAGAGGGATGGATGGCATGGAGCAGGAGGGGACGATTTGCTCCCGACCCCCATCTGACATCGCTCTGCAGCCCGGCGCCCTCCCCTCTGCATCCCATACGAGGACGGGGCTGCGCCAGCTCTCTTCTCCCGCAGCTGGAGCGCGGCTGTGCCTCGCACGGCTCCTACCTGCTGCTTTTTAACGAGGAATCGGGTTGCCCTGGAGCCGGGTCTCCATGGAAACTCGGCTTTTTCAGACACTCAATGGAAGATGCTGGCACGGAGAGGTTTGTGCAGGAATACTGATTCAGCCCCAGCGTCTGTAACACTGACTGCATTTTAATCCTGCTCTGCTACCCGGCGAGCTAAAAATACCCCTCGCTGTCGCCTCCTGAGCTCGCGTAAACAGCTTAAAGCCACGCAGCGCTGCCAGCGCCGAGATTTCATGAATCAGCTGAAAAAAAAAAGGAAAAGAATCGTTTTAAAAGGGGGTGGGGGATGCGATGGTGGGGTCTCAGCCCTTGGGGTGGGGTGGGGAGAGCAGCCTTGCACAAAGGATGGAGGGAAAGGAGCAGCGCGAGATGGGATGCTGCGCATCGCGCGGCCCTTCGGGTGTTGTTTCACCTCTCCGAAATGCCCTTCGCTGGGGGTGAAGGCAAAGAAAAAGGCAGCACTGGGTGCCAGCAGCTGGGTGAGGTGTAACCGAAGGGGTGTCCAGCAAAAGGGGACCTTGGGCACGTTGAGGCTGTGGGTGCTGCCAGCGCTGGAGCCACGCGTCAGTGCTGGGACCGTAATAGGCAAACAAGAGCGTGCTCTGCTCTCTGCAATTAGCAGGGCTGTCCTCAGCTGCCTCCGAGTGCCTTTTTGCAGAATCCACAGGCGTCTCTCTGTTATAAAGGCGTGCTGCCAGCTGTCCACCATTCACTGGAAGGGGCATCCGAAGAGGGAAACTGAGGCACAAAACCCAGCGCTGCAGCAACCTGGCTGCAAGCCGGGGCTGAATCCAGACTTCCCACCCCCAGATGGATGGCAGCATTAAGGACATTGGCTGTGAACAGCCAGCGGGATAAAATAAACCCATGCAAAGCTTGCATGGCTCAGCTAAACATGGGGTGCAGGCTGCATTCCTTGACTGTAAAGAAAAGCCATTCCGGGCTCGATTGATTTATTAGATTTCATCACATGAAATGAGCAGGAATTGGACACAACCAACCCCACCACCCTTCGCCCTCCTTGCCAAACCCTCAGCACAAACCCCAGCAGACTGAGAGCCCGGTGCATCCCAGCAGGGAGGGGGGGACACATTGGGACAGACAGGGATGGCTGTGGGCTCACAGTGGGTTTGTGATGCTCCTGTGGTGCTCAGCATGCTGCCATGAAGCTGTATTTATTGACAGCATCGTCTTTGGCTGATTCAAATTCCTTTAACTGCACCCACCAGTTAATCCCAGCCCGAGGCCAGCAATGCTGTCACCATCCCTCCCTCCCCCCCAGCTCCCTCCACATTGGGTTTTCCTGCCCATTTTGCCAACCTGCCAGGCCTGCTGTGTGCCCCCAGGTGCCCCCTCCTGCTCCACCTGCCTGCCCTCCCCGATTGCTCTTTGCTTTAAATACAAACTAAAAACGCTCACCCGTGAGAGGGGGAGATTTTGCAGGGAAAAGAAAGCAGAGGGTGTACAGAAATGGCAAACCCCTTCCCCACCCCTTGCCCCAACCCTCCTCCTGCTTGGCTCGTGCTGGGTTTGTACCTAGAGGAGCTGTGAGCCAAGGGACAGCAGCCAGGAGGGGACTGGTGCCAGGTGCTGCATCCAAGCTCTGCTGTGAGGAGCAGCCATGCTCAGCTCCCAGCTCAGCTCACAAAGTCTCCATTGGGAAGCTGGAGTGCCAGTGGCCATGCCCAGGAATCCCTGCACAGCCCCAGCATCCCCTCACCTGGTCGATGTCTCATCTGTTGTGCACATCTCAGCCGCTGGCTGCTCTCCAGACGCAGCATCATCCTTCTTGTTCCCAGCCCTGGACTCCTTGCTCCCACTTTGCACCCCCTGTGCTGTTTGTGTGCCTGCCCACATGTCCCAGAACCTCCTTGGGGTCCCTACGATGGGCAGGGCTGCAGGGTGCTGCTAGGTTGTGCTCTCCCTCCCCATTGCTCTGCTGGGATTTGCAGGGGATGTATTGGCAAATTAAATTGCAAATTAAAAATCCAGAGCCTTCCTAAACCTGAAGCCATCCTGGAGGAACCGCTGATCTCCAGGGCCAGAGGGGGAATCCTCCTGATTCACTTGTGCCCTGGGGTCAGCGAGAAACAGCTTGCAAGCTGTGCTACAGCCCAGTGATGTGAAGGGCTTTGGCCAGGATGGAGGAGGGACCTTCTCCTCCCCAGCCACCCCACGGCCACCCATTTCCAAACCCACCTCCCTAAGGCACCCATCCCTGCACATTGCAGGGCTGCTCCCCAAATGCCATGTGGGTGCAGCCCGGGGGGATGCAGCTGCTCAGCATCACCTGAATGAACAGACCTGGGCGGACAAGCCGAGTGCTCTGCATCGATCCCAGCCCAACCGCGGCGTGCAGCACCCTCAGGGACACAGCAGCTGCTCAGCAGCATTGTGCTCACTGATGGCTCTCTCCCAGGCTAGGAAGCAGGCTCTGCTGTAATTGCTGCTTGGCCATCAGCCACTGATTGCTCACACTTGTGGCTGCTTTCTTCCCTTTCAGCTCTGTGGCAGCTCTTTGGTCGCCGTCCCTCCCCACCCCCCACTCTGGGTTTATAACCTTCCCCTTCTCCCTCCGCAGCCCTGAATAGACGGCTTCATGCCCCTGGGTGGGTTGTCATTGGAGGAATAAGAAAACACAGAACAGCACATTACTGGGGCTTCAGCTGGGCCTCCCCTGCTCGCTGCAGCAGCCAAGCTGGGCTTTTGGGCTTTTTCAGGGCTTTTTGAGGGCTTTTTGAGTGCTGCAGCCACCTGGTTCAGAGGCTCTAAACCACTTCAGAAGCCATTCCAATCCGAAAGGTGTGAGATCCCCATGTGTGAATCAGCCTCGTGCTGCCTGCTTGGCTCTGCTGCCTTCTGCCCCTGCAGCCTGGAGAGCTGCACCCCTTCACCTCCATGCGTTGTTCACTCTGAAACCTAATGATGGCACCGCTACGGCTTTACTGCTGATTAGCTCAGCTCTGCTGCTCAGAGCAGGGAGAGGCAATGCACTGGTCAGCTCTGCAGTGCTTCCCTCCACCAAATGAAGATGTTGCAACCAGTGTGAGCTTTCCAAGAGGGCTCTGATGCAATGTGAGGACGGCACGGCCACCGGGACCGCGATCCATGGGCAAGGAGGGACACTTCAAGGCAGGGGGTGTGGGAGCTGACTCAGCTCACGGATGTCTTTATTTGAACTCTAGTGCAGCTGGACAGGGAGAGGCATGCGTACAGGACAGAGAAAATGGGAGTAGTATTGCCTTCATCACAGAGATATGGAACAGTATTAGAAAGACACCGACCCTTTCAGGCCAGCCAGGCTCACCCCACCTCAGCACCCGTCCCCATTCCCTATTGCTTCCCATCCCCATCCCCCCAGCCCACCCCATGATGGCGCAGCACCCCGTGTGTGGCACCCAGTGTGGAGGAGAGCCCCAGTTTGACGATGGAGGTGCTCAGAGCGTGGATGGGGCACTGTGCAGGAGTGAGGGGTGAGCAGCTGGTGGGACTCTGGCTGGGTCACATCAGCAGGATGGCAGAGGCTGGGGCACGTGTCCGAAAGCAGGGGCAGAGGATGGGGCAGAGCACAGCAGGGCTGGCAGCAGGCAGGGAGCCCCTCACTGCCCCTCTTCAGCAAGGGACTCGGCTGCTAAACCCACTACTCCAGCCATGAGGATGGCAGCCAGAGCTTTGGGTCGCTGCATGGGGCAGGCAAAGCTCACCGGGAGAACATCCCTCGGCCTCGGGGGGGAATGCAGCCCTCAGCCTGGGGCAGAGCATCCCTCGGGTTTGGGGAGAGCAGCCCTTGGCACCGGTGACAGCACCTCCCTTGGGCAGAGCATCCCTTGGCCTTGGGGAGAGCATCCCTGCACCGTAGGGAGGGCATCTTTAGGGGAATGCATCACTCGGCCTCAGGGAGAGGATCCTTGAGCCATGGGATAGCATCCCTGGGCCTCAGGGAACGCATCCCTCCGGGCAAACATCCCTTAGCTTCAGGGAGAGCATCCCTCGGGGCACACGTCCCTCGCTGGGGCGCTGCCTGCATCCAGCTGGGGCTCAGGAGAAGGTGACCACCTCACCCTGGGGGTAACTGGAAGAGAGGACGTCTTGGCAGGTGTCTGCAACGAAAGACAGAGGTATTAAACGTAGCATTGGGCACCGCTTCCATCAGCTGTCTGTGGGGAAAGAGAGGGAGAGAGACACTGAGCTCCACGGGACCAACACTTGATGCGGTGCAGAAAGCGTAGTGCAAAGGGATGCAGCCTTCTCCTGCTGTTCCATCAATAAACTGATAAAACTACTTTTTTAAATGCCTTCAAATGGGCTCAGACACCCTCAGCCAAGGTGGAGACGTGGGAAATGGGTGGAGAACCAAGGAGAAATAGACGTAGGGGTGGGAATGTGAGGAATGCCTCCACCTCAGCTCCTCCTTGGTTCCCCACCACTACTGGAATTGAGGTTAAAGAGCAAAGAACAAAGAAGGAAATCATCATCCTCACCGCATCCTCCAGGAAAGCTGCTTGTGACCAAAGTCTCCAAACCAACCCCCAGCCAGATGTCCCAAAGCCAAGCTGAGTGCATTAATATCCTGCAGTGGTTTATTTTTCTCTCTCTCTCTCTCTCTCTTTCTCATTCGTTATCATTGAATTAATTAACATTGATTGGAGCTCTGAGTCACAACGCCGCCCATCCCCGTGTGCCAGGTTTCCAGGGGCCGTCAGGCGGGGAGACAGCTCTGATCCTCCTGATAAGCACGGGGCTGCCCTTTCCTCCCAGCAATATTGCTGCAGAACCCAGTGCTGGGCTCTCGTGGCTCCTTTCACCCCCCGCAGCTCCAAAACTTGGCTTCCCCAAAAGAAATCTCCCATCCTCTGCTGCTGTGGGTTGGGTTCTCCACGCGCACACCGTCTTTTCGATGCCACATCCCAGCCAAATGCTGAGGGATTACAGCCCATAGCTCCCAGGGCAGCGTGTCCCCAGTGATGGGCTGCTTTGGGGATCCGCCTTCATCCCCGTGCAGAAACATGGGTGAGATGCAGCTGCTGCAATCCGGGGCTGTTCCCACTTTGGAGAGCAGCTGGAAGCTCTCTGTGGGTCCCTGGGCCAGCTGGAGCATCCCCAGCAGCTCTATCGATTTCCCAGGGACACAACCCAGCTTTTAACTCCCATCTCCTCCTCCTCCTCCTCCCTGCTCAGAGCCGTTCCATGGCTGAGCTCAGACCTGCTGCCCGCATCCCCCAG